TTCCAGGAGTGCTCTGGCGGCCATTTTCTTAAGTCACAAAACTCCTGGTTTTGAAAAGAGGCATGCTGAACGCCCATGGGAGCAGGGATGGACCTGGGATGGACCCGGGTGGCGGATTTGGCAGCAAAATCCCTGCGATAGTATCTGGATGCTGTCCAAATTAAAATTTAACTCAGGAGAGCTAAGAAAGTTGTATAAGTGGTGCAATAAACTCCTAGGTCTCATCTTTTTCTGTAACCATTTTACTGGGAACTTATGTTCTGTAAGTAGCCTTGTCCCTTACACCAATGTAGAATGGAAAGCAACAAGTTTGGTATAATTGCAGAGTTGTTATTATTATTATTATTATGGTCCTGTCTAAACCTAAGTTATATAAGCCCCATCCATCTATTCCAGTTCCCTGTAATATTTTTGCATTGGTGTGTGTGGAAACCATCTCACTTCTGCAACCATACATTGTTGTTTAATTTGATAGAAGCCTTTGGCACTGTTTAGTTGAACTGTTTTTACTGGTAGAAGCCTCTGGCAAGATCAGTGAAGGAATTAAGGCCTCAAAGGAGAAAGCAGAAAAGAAAAACCCAGGAAGCTTAAAAGGGGGAAACACAACCATGAGAAGGCAGGAAGAGGGATAAGAGGGTTGGAAATTGACTTGGTCAAGAAGAAAGAGGAGAAGGGCAAAGGAAGAGAATGTCAGCAGAGAGGAGAGATCTGCATGACCTGGAGGTTAAAATGGTGACAGAAGGTGTAGTTTGATTTTAAATAAATAGCCAAATCTAGACTGTAAGATTCTGGTCTGACTAAAAAATATGTGAACCTCACTTTTCTTCATGTCTGAACATGTAAGCATCAAATGTACCATGTTCTCACAAGAATCTTCTCCACATCTTCCCATTTCCATCCCACTGCATCATTGACTGGAAAGGCCACGATGTGGGCAAATCCCTAATTCTCAGGTGGGTTGAATCTGCACTGGCACAATTTTATTTATTTAATGTGATGAGAGAGAAAGGGAAAGATTAGGGAAACAGGAGAGGAACAAAGTGAGAGCCAGTGTAGTGTAGTGGTTTGAGCATTAGACTACAGTTCTGGAGATCAGAGTTCAATTCCCCATTTGAGCATAAAAAGCTACTGCTGGGTGACCTTTGGCAAGTCACACTCTCTCAGCTTCAGGATAGTAACAGCAAAACCCCATGAAGAAACTTGCCAAGAAAACCCTATGATAGTTTTGTTCACTTTAGGATCGCCATAAGTTAAAAAAAAAAAATGACATAGAGGCACACAACAACAATAAAAAGAGAAACAAAACAGCAGGGAAATTTTTCAGAGGCATAGAAGAACTCCCTTGCTTTTGGGAACTATGCAGAATGGAGAATTTCAGCACATGCACCTTGCCTCATCCCTGTTTGACAAAATGCACAGGGAGAAATGTTGTTTTGGCAAATATAAGAAGAGCAATGCTGGATCAGAGCAAAGGCCTACACAGCCGAGCTTCCCTTTCATCATAGTGGCCAGCAAAATGCTGAGAGGAAGCTCTAACCAGGACCTGAAGAGTGGATCCTCTTTTAAGAGGGATCAGAACTCTGTTTTCTTTTGCCTGCTTTCAGACAATAGAGAGAAGAGATGGTTCAGATAATTAAGGGTAGCTTTACACCTCACGGTTTCTATGGGACGCATCACTCCTTGACTCGTCGCTTCACATGACTAATCAGGTGAATG